CTAAGTCGTTGTGGACGATTCTGAACCTTGCCACCCAAAGTTTCTCACCATTCATTACAATAATTAAACCAATTCCAGATAATTTACACCTACTAGCAGTTCAGTTTCAAGTGACTTCATGAATTGGTGTAGCGCTTTGCTTTAGGCGCTTTTAACTCCTTAGAGCATGTAACTGAGAGAGCAAATTAACTTGATTTATTATGCAACAACATGTAACGGTGAATTGGACCAATAAAGATTAACACATGTATGTTTCAGCATATTTAATTAGTTTATCATTATGAAATTCAACTAATTCAGTTGGCTAATAAATTAATCAAATTTAAACATATACAATTAACTGTCAAATTATTAATATTTATTAAGTTTATAAATAATAATATTTTACATTTACACACAGGATTCTAGCAGGCATATAATTTTTATATGGTATAATCATGTACTATGATAATTAAGAAAAAAACAACCAATTAATTTTAATAGTTTAGATCATGAGTCAGTTGAAGCTAGATCACCATGAAAAACCTGGAATCACTAGATGGCCGTTTCGTCATATTGTGAGACTACTAAGCAGTGCGTATCCACGACCCCGTCCCACGTGATTCGAACCCAGGACCTACCACTGAGCCGGCCGGCATCCAACGGTTCTAATGTTTAACTTCAACTGATCCATAGTGGTTTAGCTTCAATTGACTCACGATCTCAACTGCTGAAATTACTATAATATCCACAAAGACCCTTCTGAAACTAATGAATTGTTAAATAACTCTTCTGATTTAACCTATAATATCCAGTATAAGTTTTAATTACTTATTGTCAAGTTGAATGCTAAATAAAGCATTGATAATGATGACAACACATCACAGATTATTATATTACATTATAAAAGTACAAATGAATACTAAATTCGTATTATAAAGATAAAAAAGATAAATTCTACTATCATATGTATTTTTGTTTTTGTGTGTGTTAAAACCATGAATCTAATTGTATCAGTTCAATCACAGTTATTTACTAAATTTTTAACTGAATCTTAAACAAATTCAAAATTATAATTTTTAGATTGTGTAATTTATCGATGGCGAATCCTGAAGCCTCCCAAGTCAAATATCATCATGAACAGAGTGTTCGTGAATTGCGTTCTCGCAGGTTATACTAGCCTTACATCTTTGTGAATCAAAACCATTGTTGAAAATGTTCTCTGATAGTACAATTAGGACGTTCTTAATGTACGTTTCTTAATCATGTTGAAAATATTACTTCATTGGTATCTCCGTCAAACAGTGCATTTTTAAAAATTTAAACAAGCTACAGTATCCTATCACTTAACAGTTAATAAATTTGAATTGTGAAATCACTTCGATAAGTGAATCATTTATTTCCCCTTCATTGTAACAATAATCTCAAGTTTCACCCCATAATTCAATCCATTGTTTAAGATTTCCAAGATATAATGATTTTTTCCACTCAGTCCAGTCTGTGGTAGATAGGTACCTTCCTGACAGATATAAGTAGGATATATCACCATTCTGAAGTATAATACTTCGTAGAAGAGCATTTAAATAAAGAAAGTTGGAAAGTAATTGAAATAACAACAGGGTTAGAGAAATAGTGGAGTATATAAAGGTCAACGCAAAGATGATGTGCAAATGATGTATTTGATGTATGATTTTCAAATTTTATTAACCATCCGTGTGATTTTGCATTGATTCATATAATGGTTTTCTCTGTCTGAGTTTTCGTTCACTACAATGGGTATCACTGCCTAAGAGGAGGAGGACGATGGATGTCGATTACCTGGCAAGTCGACGGATCTACGGAGACCAACGTGTCGATGGGTTTGACATTTAGACGGAAAGCGTGGCACAGACTGTGACAAAAATGAATGTCATGTTGAGCTGAAAATTCATTGAAAATGAAGGATATTTTACTGCAGTTTCTGTTTCCTCCGTAGCTTAAATATACGATTTCATTATTGATCCGACCTAAAACCTTCATGTTTTGTAGTGAATGATCTCTATAATGCTTTGAGTTGCTTTTCGATACTTTACATTACCAACTTTAGTCAATTTACAATAAATCGCAATTATCATCTATTGTTACCCGTCATGACTCTCATATTTCTAAAGTTCGTCTGTCCAAGAGAAATAAATATATTTCATTGGTTTGTTAACCTAAATGTTCTTTAATCAACCAGAAAAAATTGTGAAAATTCGACCATCATAATCGCATCTTCGTTTTCTGGAACTAATAATTAACTAATTAATATCAAATAATAGTCAACTAGTCAGTGGTTATACTCTCAACTTTATACAACGTCAGATTCCATGCTTGTTAACCATTCAAGAAAATCCTTTACTTCAATCTTTTAGTTTAGTTTCTAGTAATATTTTATGAATCTTTTGGCTCAGTAAGTGTATCATCAACTTATTATAGTCTACAATTATTATTAGTTTTTTTATAAACCTAATTATATTTTCATTAACAGATCATTCAAATGTTACATTTAATTAAGAACAAGTTTCAATGTCTCGTCTACTGAACACAATAAAAGTGTATTTATTATTACAGTTGAACTGACAGTTCGATTTTATTGTATGAGTAGAAATATAGAAAGTAAAATTTTGTTTTTTAATAACAGTTTTATTCAACAACTTTCTCTTTGAGAGTAAACAGTAATAATAAAGCAGATCACAGTAACTTGAATCGTTTTAATGTAAGACATTTTATTTAGGGATACAAATTGACTACATATGAAAATAATATCTATACAAGAAGTGATTTAATTAATCTAATAAAGAAAATGATGAAACTATATTATTGATTGATTGAATGATATAAAACTGATTTTTGGAAGAAGATACTATTAAGAACATTTTAATCAATGATAACATTGATTCACAATACGTAATAATTCATTATTAAGGTAGAAATAGAAGTCAATAAGTTTCATTATTTGTTATGGTTTAAGAGGAATTTAATCTTCACACTTTCCATGATAACGGTATAAGTGGTGGAGTTTTTTTCAAGAAGTCCACAAGCATAGCAACTAGCAAATGTAATTTTATACAATGTTAAATTAAACTATAGGTAATAAAGATGTGTGCTTGAAGTTTAACCAAAAAATCTACAGTTTGTTGGAGTGTGACTATTTACTAGTTTTGAGAACTAGAATTGACAAATATTTTAGTTGGTTGAACGCCTGGCGCGGGACTGATGGGTCCTGGGTTCGAATCTAGCGGAGGGGCAGGATCGTGGATGCGCCCTGCTGAGGAGTCCCATACTGGAACGAAACGGCCATCCAGTGCTTCCAGGTTTTCCATGGTGGTCTACCTTCAATTGACTCATGATTTCAACCAGTGAAATTTTAAATAAATGTTTATTTAGTTGTTAGAAAATTTTGTGAGTTTTTTTGTAAGAAAGTCATGAACTACATTCGTAACACATTTCCTTTTAAATTAGTTATGTTACTTGTACTCTGTAATTACTGGATTCACATTTTTTGTAAAAACCAAAATGAGAAGGCATAGTTTACAAAAAAAATTAAAGAAAAGTTACCCTAAAGACATTTTTCATACTGTGAGAAAATGATCTTTTTGCCAATTAAGAAAGTATATATTCATAGAGAACAGATCTAAAATAATTAGAAATTTCAAATAATATATCAGTTGTATGTATGGAATAACTGATAAGTAAGTTAATATTTCTTAATTATATTAGTTAGTATTTCTCTACAGTGTAGATTAAACAAAGAAATCAGTTATCACGTATCTGGGCTTCTATTATTGACTTAACTAAAAGATATTTGTAATGATAACTGAAAATCTAAAATAAACACAAATGATCTATGACCCGTTAAGTTATAAACAATCATGCTATAAAGATTCCTGAAAGTTATTCCAACTGTGAACCATTATTATCAAATATTATAGGAAAATAAATTAACAATAGTTTTCAAAAATAGGTTCGTATTTCATAGATAAATTATAACGAGTAGTTTCGAATGAAAGGTTGGAAAAAATGCTTGAATGTCGATTTGACTATTTAACTGTAATCTGAGCTGTTTCAATGATAAAATACTATTTCAACTAATAAAACTATAAATTATATTGATAGTAATTCATCAAATATTGAAATTATGATTATTTTGTAAGCATATTTTAAATTATTAGCTAAATTTGAAGTAATCAAAAAGAAAACATGAATTATTTAAAATTATTCTGTTATAACTTTGAAATATCTTTCGACAGTACTTAGCATTAGAACTGAGTAAACAAAGTGAATACTAAGTAACTAAAGTGAACGCGTTATATATATATGAACACATTGTACATAAATATTAGAATGCAAATAAATCACATTTATTTCTATGTGTGACTTGACAATGTCAAGGGGGGACATATAAACATATATCATTAGTTGATATTTTATAGATTACATAATTCGTTTTTAGTTTATACATTATGTACAAAATATGTATAGATTAACAGCTGAAATTTTTCCTTTTGTATTAGATTACAACTGAATAGTTTCGACTTTATTTCTATCTTCTTCATCAAAAATTCACGATAGAAACTAATTAAATAATAATAATAATATGTACTACCGTATTCTTAATACGTTCCCACTTTTTCATTCACTCAACATCCAATATGTGAAGGTATAAGTCGAGAGAGTAATAAACATCAACAATTCGCCATTATACATGTACACATTTTTCTCCCACTAGAGTTATAATTTATTACACAGTCAGTTGATTGTAAGCAGTGAAACATGAAAAAAAACTATGGCCTAATAAATTAAGATTTATTGTCATATATATATACTACATAATACTAAAAATGGCATGTTATAACATAAGCCATGGAAAATACATTTGTACACTCTTTACTAAACTGAATATCATTTAACAAATAATCATGTAACTATATCCATTCACTTTTGAAAACAGTAAAAATAAATAATACTTAGAAAGAAATATACAATATATACAAACTTACCGACAATTATATAGGCTATTATGAACCATATAAGTAGTAGTAATGAATTCATTATCCTTGATTCAATTTTAGTCCATTTAGCACAAATTTTTTATCGATACATAAATTATGTCTCTTTTGCACAAATGATTATAATAGTAATAATATGCAAGTGTGTATAATATGAAGATAGTTTGCTTCAAGTCATATAAACTGTTTATTATTGAATAGTATATTATAATCAAATATTAATAGTGATGATAAAATATCTAAACATTTATTGTATATGCCTATAAACTAGAAAAGAACGTGTTATATTCTATTACTTGATATAAATATGTAAGTATGTATAAATATATATGTATAGATACATAAATTATATGTTTAACTAGTATAAATATAGGGATGATATATGTATTTGACATGTTTGGTTGGTGGTTATAACCAGACAGACAGGTATAATAAATATCTATGACCTTGTGATCAGAAGTGTATACGTTCAAACTTCAATGGTATTATCATTATTTAAATTTTTATGTAAAAGATATTTACTTAAAAAGAAAAATGAACGAAAAAACTATATAAATATGATGATAGTCTTACTCTTTCTTTTTTCTTCTTTCTTTTTTCTAACAAAGGAATTCAAGACAGACAGGTTTTTTTTTTGGGGGGGATAATTCAAAATTAAGTTTTTTTCCGAGATTAATATTTATCATTATGACTCAAAATGTAATTTTGTAATTGACATAAAATTTATTAACCAATCAAATTATGATTAAGGTTAGATATTATAGGCTTGGCCTTAAAAAATAATGGTAGTCTAGACTATTTGAACTTAGTTTTTCTTATCATTTCAGTGACCTGGAAAAAGAGACGAAATTAAAATTCATTAGAGGGAAATTAATACTCGAGATTGTCTTTATACTTTTTTATTACCATAGACAAGATTTTTTAAAAATGTTATATACGCTAATCGATATGAGGAATGATTGTCATAATTAGCTGTAAGGTGTTTTGATTCAGCTAAGAGAGTATGAACATATGTTGAAAAGTTTTGTACAATAGGTTATTTTTGCATTAAACATGAATTATTCGATATATCCCTTAGGTAGACAACTTTGACCTTCACTTTTATCTTTGGAAAGTACTATGTGTCCTATTGGTTACTGATGACTGTCTTAGTCAACAAAAAATATGAGAAGGGTATTATAGTAATTTCAATAGTTAAGATCAGTTAAAGCTAGACCACCATGGTAAACCCGTCCAGTGCTTCAAGGTTTTCCATGGTGGTCTAGCTTCAATTGACTCATGACCTCAAATCTTGAAAATGAATTATCATCCTAGAGGCGAAGCGTTTGCACCTGAGACCGGAGGTCTTGAGTTCGAATCCCGCGAGCGTGATCGTGGATCCGCACTGCTGAGGGGTCCCATAATAGGACGAAACGGATATTCAGTGCTTCCAGGATTTTCAATCATGCTCTAATATCAATCGATTCATGATCTTAATCCAAAAGGAGGATTTTTTCGGTATACATTGAAATATTTGTACTTTAATTTGAAATAATTTTAATATAAGATAGTCATTCTTATTTACTTACTTACATCTGTTACTTCTCGTTGAGAAGCATAGGCCACTCACCACCATTCTTCATCCAACTCTGCCCTAGGCAATCCCTTTCAGTTGTTTCCAATAGCTATTTATTTATTCATCTAATTGATAATGTTTGTTTTAAATTGTTTAAAGATTTTTGTTTTGTTTAATTTATCGATGAGTGATATTCAGTTGTTGATTTTCCTTTTGCCCTGTAAAGATTTATAATTAACTACTTTATTACAAAAGATGTTACATTCCTTGACTGTTTACTTTTGAAGCAGATATGATTAGTACTGACAATAATGGTGTAATTGAAAATTCATTCACCTATAAGTAAGATGAATGTAAATTTTGTAACTAATGCATAGATTTGTTTCTACTCATAATCTGACATAAATGATGTGCACTTGTTTTGTTGGTTTCATTAAAATAGAATAGTAAACTATTGAATAATTGCCTGATTTGTTTTGGACATGACCATTCGTTTATTTTATTCAACACTGATCTTTGAGCAGATAGATTACTTTAAAATGTATAGAAAAATTATTAATGATAAAATAATTACACCTCTAATCAATCAACCAACCATTTATTCATACTGACTGTTATGAAATAAAAGGGATTTATAAAATACACTAAGGTTCTTCTCCTTACATGGTCAACATTATGTCTAATAAATCAACTATAATTTGAATGATGTTAGGATCTGAACTTTGACAAATTAAATGTAATCTGATTTATTCATCTTTAAATCTAAAACATTCAATGATTAATTCCTTAGTCGTTCCATTTTTAATCTTACACTTCGTATACCATCTAAATTATCTACACATTATATGTGGTGATTCCTGTTGTAGAGTCTGAAGTAGTTGAATTCATTATTATATGGGTCAATGAGTGTACATTAAGGACGAGTAAATCTAACGAAACAACCATTCAATTTTCTTTGATTTTCGACATTTATGCATAAGACCACATTGAATAAAGAGTTTCTATGGAAAATAGTAATTAAAGTTTGATCATTTTCTTTATATAAAAAGCTAATATGTTAAGCAATTGATGACTGTACATATCAACATTTAATATTGATTTTTACTCATAAAATGTTATAACAGGCTATTGACCAAAAACAGGGATCAGTTTCATTTTAAGACACAAAATACATTTCGAATTCAGTTAGTTAATACAATTATCTACCCCTTTCTTTGTATGCTATCAAAATAATAGCTCATAAACCAGTTGCCAGGGCGATGAAGTTTTTATTGAGTGACTTTCAGTTGTAACAACTGTTGTATGTGTTTGCTTAATTCTATACAACTTCACGGGTAAGGTTTAAGTGAGTAAATTTACTCGATCTGTAAATAGTTTGCAGTTATTTTTTTACATAAATCATCCTACTTATTTTAAATAGCAAATTAATGATGATATAGCCTTTTATTAGTCATATTACCAACATTTTTAATAAGAGGTTTATCGTCATCGATGTTACTGTTTGATAGTTATTCTATATCGTGAATTAATTAAAGCTAAAAATGTAAACTGAGGAATTCCATTTCTGCAGTCTAAAATTTAACTTAACAGATGAGAGATACAACAGTTTTCGTTTCCATTCCTATTACGATTATCTATTTACACTATAGATGAGTATAATAACCTTCAATATTTCTTGATTTTCAGCGATATTCCAACTTTATTCACTTCATAATGAATATCACTTGAGAGAACTAACTAATTTCCTGGATTTATATAGTCAACTCTTATATGCTACTATTCTTAATATAATGAAGATTGTTTATACAGTTTTCAACTGAATCGAAAGTAAGTAAACAATAAACACTTAAAGTAAATAAAAATTCGAAAGAAAAAACTCATCAAAAACATCACTTGAAATAAAAATAATAAAAATAACAATAAAAATCATAAAACTATTTTATTTACGAGTATGTTCAATTAAATTAATTCAAGTTTATAGAAAAAATTGTAAACACTAGAGATGTAATAAAAAAGAAGTTTTATGATACATTCTAGTTGGTTGTTTTTATTCATCAATGATTATTTTCATTTATACTAATATGAATAAAAATGTATTTCACTGGTTGAAATCATGAGTCAATTGAAGCTAGACCACCATGGAAAACCTGGAAGCACTGGATGGCCGTTTTGTCTTAGTATGGAAATCCTCAGCAGTACGCATCCACGATTCCGCTCCTCGTGAGATTCGAACCCAGAGCCTGTCAGTCTCGCGCCAGGTGCTTAACCAACTAGACCAATGAACCGGTATCCAACGAGACTGACAGGTACTTGGTTAGAATCTCGCGGGGGGTGGGATCGTGGATACGTACTGCTGAGGGGTCCATACTAAGACAAAACGACCATCCAGTATTTTCAGGTTTTCCATGGTGGTCTACCTTCAATTGACTCATGATTTCAACCAGTGAAATTTCTAGAAATCTCCATAAAACCCATTCTGATAAAAACGTATTTATTCAACGAACTTGAAATTCGGTTATTTAGGATTTCAGCAGCCGTGTCTCCTTTAAATTCCATATTCATAAACTGAATTTTCGTCTGTACTGTCGATGCTTTATCATGACGTCTGGGTATCAGGTTGCTATCGACGAATCTCGGTGGATAACCATTTCTGATGAGCATGGACAGCATAGAAGAAATTTCTGTTTATGAAAATTTACTTACTTTAGATTGAATACAAAACGACGGATTTTATATTTTGAAACAGTTTACAATTAATTATGTAATATTTTACTTTCTAAGAATACTTGTTTGTTAAAATGCACATGATTGGAGATAGTATTTACTGAAGAGTTAATTGCAATAGAAAACTTGTGTTTATGCCTCCCAGTAGATTATCTCCAAACATTTAAAATCAGGGAATGTTCAACAAGATACCGAACTACTTAGCTTTTTCTTAAATCGTAAGGACTAATAATATAATTCAACCGACCAGGAGTAAAGGATATTGGTTGGTACATAATGATTGATTAGTGTCAAAATCAATGTAATTCCTGTGACTTAGTGGTAGGATAGTAACCACTATCATCCTGACCGATATGCAACATCTTACAGTACAGTAACCGAAATTATGATACCGATGAGTACATGATGAAAGACTGAGTAGAGAAGATTTATAACTCACGCGGATGATTTCAGTCGGCCAACACCAAGGTCAAAATTGTCAATACAAATGTCAAGACAATTCTACTGTATGGGGCGGAAACCTGGAGAACTACGAAAGCCAGAAGATACAAGTGTTTATTAACAGTTGTCTACGCAAAATATTTTGGATCCGTTGACCAGACAGCATCAGCAACAACCTACTATGGGAGAGAAGAAACTAGATCTCAGTGGAGGAAAAAATTAGGAAGAAGCGCTGGAAGTGGATGGGAGATACATTGAGGAAAGCATCCAACTGTGTCACAAGGCAAGCTCTTACTTGGAACCCTGGAGGCCAAAGAACACATTACGCCAAGAAATGTAGACAGACATGAAAAGAATGAACAACAATTGGATTGAACTAAAAAGAAAGTCCCAGGACAGAGTGGGTTGGAGAACGCTGGTCGGCAGCCTATGCTCCATTGGGAGTAACAGGTATATATATAAATTATTGTATGGATATTTTTTTATATTGTCCTACCAATTTAATATAATTTCAATTTACGTCACATATTCAATTCATTCACGTCGTAACTATGTAGTCTAAATTGAAATGTGTATTTTAAATACATAGTATACAAAATGT